AAAAAAAAAAAAAAAACGCAACCGAACAACAAAGGAAGCACCCCCCTCCCCCCCGGCCCGACCAACCAAGCAGCAACCCAAAGACCAAAACGAGAAGAAAATAGACCACCCAGGCCAATGACCAGGACGACACCAGAACTCAAGAGCAGGCCAGAAGTGAAACAATGCCCAGTACAGCAAGCAAAACGAAGCAGAAGGAACCTCAACACTGAACGCAAACAGGAGCGGCACTGCCAGCACCACCCAATACAAGGTGACAGGACACGGTCCCAGACAACGGTCCCTGAACAACCCCGAAGGGAAGACAAGCCAACCCTATCATAGACCGAAGGACCCTTCGCAGTGATAGGAAGGACCACCAGGAAAACCACACACCACTCCCGAGACGAAACACGCAGGTGGGAGACCAACAACGAACCCACCAGTGCCGACACAAACGACGAGAAACAAGCACCACGAACGAAAGCGCAAAATACGAGTCGAGAAACAGCGACCCCCGCAACCCAAAGGAGCAACATAACCAGCTCCAGCAGGGAAGAATGATGCACATGTCCCCGAGGCATCCAAGAGGAGAACTAAGCAGAACGTGAACCGCAGGAAAGCAAACACACCCGTTCTGGAAAAGGAACAAAGAAACACCAGAGCCAGGACCGGAACCCGGCTACCGGTTCCAAGGAAAGGAACCAGTAAGGCAGGAGTGGCGGACCAAAAGTCCACAACCCCCCACAGACAGTGCAACACCGAAGCCTGCAGTAAGTCAAAGAAAAATCGTAGAAACTAGGTACCAAAACGGAACACCCGATAAATCCAAAAGCAGGGAACTGAACATGGACAGAGGCCCACCTGAGCACCCATCAGGATAATCAAGAAACACTGACCCAGATATACAGACAAGCGGCGCATAGGAGGAGGAAAAACGGAAAGTGGCAAGGAAAACCCCGAATATGGACCAAGGAGCGGCCAGGAAGCAATGCACACGACTAACCACAAAATGTGCAGTGGAGGGCGTACATACCCGAGGGACCTCATGAACAGCAGGGTGCAGCCAGGCACCGAAGATAGGCAAGGAATGAGTGTCCAGATAGGGAAAAAACCCAGGTGCTGACAACGAAACCAAAAGCACCGACATGCAGAGCAGAGCCCCACAGGACAACAAAGAACAAGATACATGGACAAAGGAAAGTTACTGAAGACACACAGAAGATGACCAAACACCACCACACCAAACACCCCTGTTAGAAGCCATCGACGCAACCCCGCCAAGCGGGAAAGAGAGTAAACAAGGATGGAGCAGTGACCAAGGGTGGCACACGCCACCCATGTGGCACGTTTTGTACACGAAACAAGGGGTATAAATTGGAGAAGTGTAGATCTAGGAAAGACCCAAGGAAATACTGGGATGGTAACCGGTCTGTTAATTTGCGGAACCAACCACCATGCAACGTGGTGGAGGTGGGGCCCCATGACCGTGTCAAGCGCGGGCTGGACATGTACATGAGTGGGACTGGGTGGCAACAAATAGGAGCTGCCTCGTATAGGCCAACAGACCCTCTGCAGTTTCTCTGTTCGTATGTCCTAATGTTCGTATGCACAAGGGGACACAGGAGGAAGCCGAGTACCCAAAGGAGCCACAGACATGAACAAGAACCTGATCAATGTCAGTGGAGATAGGAAGCGGAAAGCACTAGGAAGCTACGTGGTGAAGGCAGTCTCCACCCACAGGAGCAAACGTAGATAAGACAGAGCCTTGGAGGCTCAGGAAACAGCACAACCGTCGACCGACAGGAGAGAGACGGGGCCAAAGAGCCAGAGCTCAACCCCTGCAAGCACAACTAGGCAAGCACCCCACCAAAAGTCGAGAACCAGCACTTGGCCGACTAAGGTGCCAGACATGACAATCACACCTGCAGAGCAGACACACAACCGTACCACAACACAGGCAAGCCAAGTAACATACCAGGAGCATTGCTAGTGGTGTGCACGAAAGCCATGTATACTAGAGGCAGTAGGCATTGTATGTACCGTTACCTGAATAAAAGCTGGAAGTCTAAGGTAAAATATGTCCAGAGGCGCGTGCCCAGCAGAAGACGACGAGCAGTACAGAGGGGGAGGAGGCGGCGCCACTCTGAGCCATCCCACACCAGGAAGCAGAGGAAAAACGAGGTGACGCCCCCCATATATAAAAACCCAAAACACCCCCAGCATCCAGAGGGCTACGACTGAAGGAAGAAAACGAGCAAGAAGCCGTAGAAAACCTTGAGAAACGACGTGAACACACGAGCATACCGCCCATAAAAAAAACGCACACCCCGGCCCCAGCACGCGAGGTACAAAACGCACCACCCGTCCTCCGGGTGGCGTGGCTCGTACACCAGGCGGACACATATCTTACATACACAACGTACAGACACATCGTACAAACACCAGGAAGGCGTACAAAACGAGACGAGGAACGCCGAATCTGGAAGTAGCGACGACGCGTAAACAAAACAAGGCAAAACCGAAATGAAAGAGGACGGAAGGTAACCAACGAGGCCGACAAAAGACCAGAGGGAAACCACATCGGAAGTCAACAGACGTTCCAATAATATTGGAAGGTACGAAGAGATGTGCGAACCAACGAGAACCACAACAAGCAAGCACAAGCAAACGAAGGGACATATGGACAAAAAGAAACCCCTGATCAAAGGACACGCAGGGTCCCCGATATGAAGGAAACAGTATTGCGACGTAAGCGCGAAAAAGGTAAGGAAAAGGGGGCGAAACACATCCCCAATAATGATGGGACCGACGAACCCAAAGGGACAAGGAACCGAACCCAGGGAGGGTGGTATACCCGAAACCAACAGGAACACAGAGGGGGAAGGAACAACCCCACTCTGAGGAACTGCCAGCCCCTCACCATGGGTATAAAAATCTAAGGAGGGGCAACGGGGCCGAGACTTCCCCCAGGCAACCCCTCCCCAACCCCCGAAACCTCTACGGCAAGACCCGGGGCCGAGCCGCACCCACAAAACCTCAGCTTGACAAGGAAAAGCCGGGGCAGCCGTACAAACACTAAGGAAGGGAGCCCACTGGTCAGACCCATACAGCAAGGCTGGAGAAACCGACTCGAATGCCTCAGCCACCTCCCCGGAAGAGGAAATCCCCCGAGACCGCCCGAATCTCAAACCAGAGCCTGCTCCAACCCCGAAACCCGCCTACAGTTCGAAGCCGGAAGCAAGGGAGGAAGTGTGCAGAACAGAAGGAGCCAGAGCTGAAGCGACCCCCACCCCCACGTCCGGACCCCAACAACCAAAACGGGGCAGCCTCGGAGCATCCGGGGACACATACAACCAAGAGGGTTGCAGCAACCCACACCTAGCAAGCAACACCGCAGCTGCCTGCACCCAATTATCATGACCAGTGGTCAGGGTGAACGAGAGCACGTACCGACAACACCCGTCGCATGACTCCAGGTCATAAACAATGACCCAACAGGCAGCATGGCGGAGGCACAACCAGCGAGTGTCACCCTGAGACAAGGGGACAGAACAACCGTCAAACTCTCAGGACAAGAGGGGGGGACTCCGGGGACACACCCATTGGACCACGGAGCCCCCATGGGGTTTCCCAGGACCCTTAGCCTTGGGTACACACTAAGGGAAACCCAAGCAGGGTACTACGAACCGGCGCCCAAGTCTACCAAACAAACTTCTAAAAGTTGAACCCCCGGGACGTGTCCACTCACGGGGGCCAAGCGGGGAGTATCACTAACAGAAAATACCGAAATAAAAACACCTAGAACAGTAAAAGGGGACCATAAAGGCAGACCCCCCCACCAGGCAAAAACAAAAACAAAAGAAAAACCTCTAGAGAGGACAACGTACCCAGGCAGAACAGAGCCGGCCGCTGATATTGGTGAAAACTAGCTGTGCGGTACCCCACGCCCCTACCAGTGACGAAAACTACCACCTACCCAGAGACAAACCAGGGCAACAAAACCCCAGTCGACTATAAGGGCGGCCCAGTACCGAGCAATAAAGGACACAGTGGAGGTAGAATCCAAGGAGACTTGTGGAAGGTGGCCCCAGCCCCAAGGGCAGTACTTACAGGGCACATAGGGAAGATAGCCCTAGGCACATGCAGCCCGAGTACTGTGGAATCTCACTCCAGGCTCACACCCCACCGAAAGAGACAGTCCACACCACAAAGCACAGAACTGAAACAAAAACCAGAGCCAGAAGCACTCGACCGGCCAGTAATTCTATCAACCAAGAACTGCCAGTTGGATCGCCGGCGTGGAGGGTCTGGGGCTTTCCCTTCCCCCTCCCAGGGAGGGGGAGTTGCGCAGACGGTGGCGCGGTGACATGACGACGTCATGCTAGTTTGATACTTTTGTTTGGGGAGTTCTGTCCACTCGTTCAGCTTTCAGTTTCAATATTTTCACCAGAATAGGGGTTTGTTTTGAGGCACCAACCTTTCTGGGTGCCTATCCCAGTCGATGGCAGACAGAATGCTCCCAACCACAAAGGGGTTTCTATAGGCCATTGCTCCTCGTGCCTCTCTGAGGGGGCCAGGTTCTGGCTCGTGGTCCCCGGTAGGCAAGTATCCGCGGTTGTTCAACGTCCTCCCAGCAAGCATAAGAAATATTGCTGGAACAACTGTGGACATTTTCATGAGGAAACTAGATTTATTCCTCCAAGGAGTGCCGGACCAACCGGGCTGTGGTGGGTATGTGGGCCTGCGGGCCGCTCCAAGCAACAGCCTGGTGGACCAAACTCTCACAAGTCAAGCCTGGCCTCGGGCCGGGCTTGGGGAGTAGAAGAACTCCCAGAACCCCATCAACCAGGTATCAACCAGGCAAGAACTCCAAGCACTTTGATGCCAGAAAGTTATACATATTCAGTCAGCCTGGATAGCTCCGGGGAGCCGACGGGGCTCCCCCCAGAAAAAACCTTGCTTTCTGTTAAAAAAAATTGCAGCCAAATAAAAGTACTGTATTTGCAAAAATAGTTTACCTTATCTGTGATGGTGTGGCTATACTCTGTAGCTTTCTCTGTAGCTATACTACTGTATTCCACAGCTTTTCCAGCAATTTTAGTAGCACCCAGTGACAGCAATGACCAGCCCTGAAATGTGTACACTGTCAGTAATGGTATATTTAATGTATGCTTTAATGAATGCTTAACACTTACATACCAGCAAGTTCACCTACTTTTGATTATTACAAAATAAAAACTTTATGGCCAAGTTCTATACCATTATACACACTAATAAATATGGCTTGCAATATTTCTGTATTAACTTTTAGTAACTAGTAATTTCAGATATTAGCTAGCACTCTCTAATAATTTACACAAATAAATCCAGCAAAGTGAGGGAGCACTGGAGTGCATTTACCAAGCCACAACACTTGCCAAATGTTCCCCCCTTCTCCCTGCTTGGCAAGCACGTGGCAGTGCGCCCCTGCTTGCCAAGCACGTGGCAGTGCGCCCCTGCTTGGCAAGCACGTGGCAGTGCGCCCCTGCTTGGCAAGCACGTGGCAGTGCGCCCCTGCTTGGCAAGCACGTGGCAGTGCGCCCCTGCTTGCCAAGCACGTGGCAGTGCGCCCCTGCTTGCCAAGCACGTGGCAGTGCGCCCCTGCTTGGCAAGCAAGTGGCAGTGCGCCCCTGCTTGGCAAGCACGTGGCAGTGCGCCCCTGCTTGCCAAGCACGTGGCAGTGCGCCCCTGCTTGCCAAGCACGTGGCAGTGCGCCCCTGCTTGCCAAGCACGTGGCAGTGCGCCCCTGCTTGCCAAGCACGTGGCAGTGCGCCCCTGCTTGCCAAGCACGTGGCAGTGCGCCCCTGCTTGCCAAGCACGTGGCAATGCGCTCCCGCTTGGCAAGCACGTGGCAGTGCGCCCCTGCTTGCCAAGCACGTGGCAGGGCGCCCCTGCTTGGCATGCACGTGGCAGGGCGCCCCTGCTTGGCATGCACGTGGCAGGGCGCCCCTGCTTGGCATGCACGTGGCAGGGCGCCCCTGCTTGGCATGCACGTGGCAGGGCGCCCCTGCTTGGCATGCACGTGGCAGGGCGCCCCTGCTTGGCATGCACGTGGCAGGGCGCCCCTGCTTGGCATGCACGTGGCAGGGCGCCCCTGCTTGGCATGCACGTGGCAGGGCACCCCTGCTTGGCATGCACGTGGCAGGGCGCCCCTGCTTGGCAAGCACGTGGCAGTGCGCCCCTGCTTGGCAAGCACGTGGCAGTGCGCCCCTGCTTGGCATGCACATGAGGAGGGGCAAGGAATCCAGGGTTCAGACGGGACAAGACCAGAATGAACCTCAGATCCGCACAGTCCCGTTTTGAACCTGGAAACAGGCGGGAAACCCACCTGAGGGACAGAGTCGTTTTGACCACGCCCAAGCGCACCCATTCCAAGATGACTTGATGAAGCGCAGGAGAAGAAACCTGCCCTGTTAGCCCCGAACTCCCCAAAGGAAGACGAGTCGCCCAACGCCACCGCAGGCCGGATGACACAACCAAAAAGGCCCACAAATAGTGGGACCAAGCGTGGGCAAACAGAGCGAGCCTCCCCCCCATCGCCCCATCAATGGGGCGAACCGCGAAAGGGCCGACGCCCCTTACAAGAACCCAAACATCGAGCAGAGCAATCACTGCGCCGACCAGACGAAGCTGGCCACGAAGGGAACAATGGCTCAGAAACTGGCACCAATGGCCCACCTCGACCAGCGGAACTCGAAACCCTTGCACGACCCCCTCCGAAACTGCCGAGAACGACCTCCTCGGAGAATCAACAAGTCCGCCATAGGACAACAACTAGACGAAGTCATTTGCAGAAACTGAGAGACCGCAGTCTCTGCAAACAGCAAAGGACAAAATGGAGATGAGAACCTAAGAGCCAGGACCTAAGCGAATTCCAAAGAGAGGGCAAGCACAGCCTGATGGCACGCGAGGTGAGAAGCAAAAAACAGAGACACCCTTTCCTTCAGGATGGGCGCAAAGAGCTTCAACAGTGCAGCCGACGCCGTAGTTGCCGAAGTCAGCGCCCCAGACAAAGGCCCTTCACTCAACGCTCCCACATCCTCCTCAAGCCAGGCAGAAGACAGCTCGAGAAGGGAAAAGAAACGTAAGACCGAAGGCAAATGCCCACGGGAGCGCAAATCCTCCGCAATTAACGTAGCCGAAAGAAGAGGAACCTGCACGTGAAGCTAGAAAAGGCCAACATCCCGAGAAAGCACGAAGCGAACAAGCACGCATTAAGGTGCTCAAACTCGCCCCCCAGGTAAACCTACATAAAAGTAGAAGTTCTCCGCCAATCAAGCATGTGGGTCCGACAGAACCCAAACCACATCCCCAAACGAAAAGAAAGGGCAGTCTGCCAGCCAAGAAGACTCTGGAACCTCCAAACGGACCAAAAATGGGAAGAACTAAACTCAAATGAGGACGGATCCATTGCAGAGGCATAACCCGGGTTTCACAAGAGGTATGCAGCAAGAGCTTCCCAAGCCACCTTCACAGAGATACGGGAAGTAAAAAACCTCTGGAAAGACGGAGCCGAGGTACCCAAAGGAGCCCAGAACCGAACCCAAAGCATACTCATACAGGGAAGGGGGGGGGTAAGACCCTGTGCCTCAGCACTAAACCCTGTGCCGAGGCCGAAACCCTCAGACGTTTTGGAGCCGGACACATGGGGGGAGGTGCAGGAAGAACCACAGGGGAATGACCAGGGAGCACGGCAGGAGCCAAAGTGACTAATGCCCCCTGGTCAGGGTCCCTGAAACCAAAACGGGGCAGCCTCGGGGCATCCGGGTGGGAAACTAACCTAGCGCGTTGCAGTAACCCTAACCTAACATGCAACGCTGATGATGCCTGTACCCCTAACAGGAACATCCTCAGAGTAAAACTGGGAACACAAGCAGAGAACACGACTCGCAAGACTCCGGGTCAAAGGTGTCGTTGACCCAACAGGCAGCATGACGGAGGCAAAACAGGTGACTGTCACCCTGAGACAAGGGCACACTGCAACCTTCAAACCCGCAAAAAGCAGGCTGGAACTTGGGAGATGCATCCATGGATCCACCGAGCCCCAACGGGTTTCCAGGGCCCGTAGGATAACAACTACGCGAAGTCCGCGCAAGGTGTTGCTAACCGGTTAAGAAACCCAAACAAAACAAGGGGTAGATGATAACACTGAAAACCCCTGGGAGGTGTACAAGCATGGGAGGCCTATTAGAGGGCCACCAAAACAATATCAGGGGAACTATAGACCCACGAGGCAGAACCTCCACCAATCCACCAGGCAAACAAAAATAAAACAAAAGAAAAACCCCGCAAAAGTACACCGTCCCCCGAGGCAACAGGAACCGGTCGCCGCTTAGGTGGCAACACCACAACGCCTTAACCAGCACAACACCACTCCCTACCCAAGACCAAACAAGGACCCCAAGCCCCAGCTGGCCCCAAGAGCGAGGCAAATGCCGAGCAGCAAGAACCCCTATGGGAGCAGTTCCCGAACGCCCCAAGGAAGATAACCCTGACACGCAGGGGCAGTACTCAGGGCGCCTAGGGAAGAAAGCCCCCAAGGGCATGCAGCACCGCCACTGATGAGGTACTCCTGGCCACCACACAGCAGAGAACGCCACACAAGGCAAACACCGCCCAGGAATTTGAGGCCAGAGAAGCATCTATCCCGGTTGACACTAGCTTATGAACTGAAGGCAGCCGGCGCGGTGAGGTCCGGGGAGGGGGAGGCTGCGCGGACAACTGGCACGACAGTAAATTGTGATAATTGCTCGTTTGATTGTTTCCTTGGGATTGTAGGGAGTTTCTACCCCTCTTCGGTTTTTGTTTTAGTTTCTTACCATGTGGGGTTTGTTTTGTTATGCCTACCTTTCTGGGTGCCTAATCCCGGTCAATGGCAGACAAGGAAAACCCCCCAACCAATGGGGTTTTCCAGGGCCATTGGTCCCTGAAACCTCTCTGAAGGGGCCAGGTTCTGGCACTGGTCCCTGGTAGGTCTGAACTCCATAGCTAATGTCCCGGTCCAACATAACATACATTAGCTCGATGAGCTCCAAGGAGCCGAAGGGGCTCCCCACAGAAAAGGACTGGAGGTAAGCCTCACTGGAAAACGACAGACTTTCCAATAATGCAGGAAGAATCGAAGACCTCCCCAAACCTTCGAGATCACATAGAAGTAAACAATATCACGAAGGCTCAGAAGGCACAGTCGCACCCGAGACCAAAAGTCATACAGAAACCCCGATAACAGGGGAACATAACCCCTCCATTATGGAGAAGTCTCGCCCCAGAGAAAAGGGGGTAGAAATGGAGAAAAGTACTCACCGATAGGACGGAACCGAACGAACCCGAAGAGACAAGGATCCAAACCCGGGGAGGGGCCGACACCCAAAAAGTCATATGCAGAGAGGAGAAGGAAAAACCCCACTCCCCGCAACTGCAAGCCCTGCAATGTGGGTAGAAAACCCGGCGGGGTCCAACGGGGCCTGAGGCCCCCTCAAATCACGCCCTCCCCAACCTCGGAAACCTCCATGGCAGGTACCAGAGCCAAGCCGTTCCCCCAAAGCCCCAGCCTCAAAAGAAAAGGTCGTAGCAGCCAGAAAGATACTGAAGAAGGGAGCTCACTGGCAGACTCGCACAACCCAGCTGGAGGGACAGGCTCGAATTTCTCCCTCGCTACTCAGGAAGGGGAAACCCGAGACCGCCTGAGGCTCAAGACCCCTCAAAACCCTGCCCCGACCCCAAACTCACAGACGGAAGGATCCGGATGCAGGGAGGAAGGGTGGGGGTGTAACACTGTAAAAGTGTTTGGTTTAGTTTAATACATATATAGAATATGAGTCAGAGACAGGGATTTGGGAAGGCACCAGTTGTCTGCCAGAGATCTCACACCTCAAAGCGTTAATGACCTCAAGTGACCTGAGGTCAGATCATGCGAATTTCACCTTGCTTCTACTAATCTCTTAATTGGAGCCTGGTAGCCTTCAAACATGCCGACGTTTAAGGAGTGGCTTGGTAGAGTGCCTCAGGCTATCTACTTGTGGGCGGAGTTAGTTACTAGGCTCCCCAATATATACTCGGAGAACTATCGATTCGAGAGGATTAAGCATTA